GGAAATATTTTGGGATTTTTATATTTCTTGTTTTTCATTTTTTCTTGATCGTCAACCCTTCAATCATGCTTCGGCTAATTTTGAAAATAAAAAGAAATACATTTTTTGGATGTCCTTGTAATCAGCCAGTTTACAAGATGGAACTATTTTTCCAAAACCCTGTATTCTCGGAAATACTGAAAACTTTTTTAAAAACTTTTATATCTGTGCAATCTAATGTTGTAGACCTATAACATTTTTAAATACGAATTCTGGTAGAATAAAACAATACATTTGTATGTATGTTCCCTATAGCTGACCAAACGCACTTCAGCTAGAAATGAATAAAGCACAAGTTTTTTCATTAGCTGGTAAATCACCTTTAAGTAAAATGTGGCTTTGTTACGTATGCACTGTACATGTTACAGCTGCTTTGTTTCATATTAATTGGACTATTTTAAAGGGACAGACCGGCTATGTAAGGTAGTTGAACTGAGTATGCAGAGTTGTGGACAAATTTTGAGGATTCATTTGAGACATATAAAACTTTATAAGGATCTGTAAATCCTGAGTTTGAGTGCAAAGTCAAATTTCAAAATCGTACTTTTGGGTGAATACGTTTTCAGAATTGTTTTTTTAAATTATTAAATTACGTCAACGAAAAACGTAAACAAAATTCTACAGTAAACTAATAAGTTGTTTAGGAACAGGTCAAGAAAATAAAAATTAATCTTATCATCAAAAATAAGGTATTTATTCAATTTTTAGTTTCTATAATCTCTTATTTTATTCACAAAGATTTTCTGCAGATTTTCTGGAATTTTTATTTAAAGACGATATTTTAAGAATTTGTAGAAATCTGCGAATAAATTCATAGAAAATAAGAAATTCAATATAATGATGAAATCGAAATAATTGGTTCTAGCATTGATTTACTGACAAATTTCTTTGGAGAAATATGGTCCTAACCATCTAATTAGTTTATTCTATAATTTTTACTTTATTTTTCGTCGTCGTTATTTAATAATTTAAAGAAACCGATTCTGAAAACATACCCACCCAAATTCATGATTTGAACGTCGACTATGCACTCAAAATCAGTATTTATATGTTGTGGAAACGTTTTATATGTCTCAAATGAATCCTAAGAATTTGTCCACAACACTGCATACTCAGTTTAACTACCTTACATAGCCGGTCACTCCCTTCAAACAGTTTTATAATAAGATCTCAGTGATTTATGATGTCATCAAAATAATTTTTTTTCTAGGAGGAAAGATTGTATTACGAGAATATAAACAATTTTATGTTTGCTTCGGATCGGAAATCTTTTTGTGAACTAGGTAAATGCATGTATACAGGGTGTCCCAATAAACGTGGGAATTGAAGCACTTGTATGCGGATATCTGTAAAATCTTTCTTCTGCTTCATTGTATTTGATTACAGTTATATTTTTTTTATAAAACTAGTTTAGGGTTGGTTAATGTTAATCAGAAATTACGTCATCAGTCCCTTTATTTGTGATCAAATGAATATTTTAAACAAAAATTTTAAATTCACAACAAATTAATTTATTTTCAGCGGTAGGGGACATTGTTAATAGCAAAGAGGTAAAGGTAACCATTTTTTTATATACATAAATATATCTATATCTATGTATCAATATATATATATGCTTTGTTTGTCTGGGTGTTTGTTTGTTGTTTGTATTGTAACCCCTTCTGTCCTCGGAGCTTAGATGTAACCAGTGTGAGCTCAATAGCTCGGAATAGGGTTAGTTCCATTGATGTAACCCCCCAGTCCTCACACGGACCCAGAGCTAAACTGGGATTGTAAAAGTCTGCCCTATAAACAAGACAATGTATTAGCTCTTTTGCATAAAGACAGAAAGTGGGGGGATGATAAGTCCCCTCGTTTATAATGTGGAGAAATATTTGTTTGTTAGAAAATGCCAACCGAGAAAACGTGCTTTAAGCGCATGTTTGAACGCGTGGAAAACCAAAGCCACTGTTGCCCCAAATTCTATTTTAAATTTAAGCCAATAGGCACAACCACAAGCCACGGCTTGAAAAGAGAGAATAGGCTCGGTCAGAGCTAAAACCGCATGGAGTCAGTATTCTCAAAGGATCGGAAGATGGAAGATTAACTGGTCGTATGAGGAAAATGAAAGGCAGGGAGTCTACCAGAGAGCTCCGGCTTTCCATGATTCATTAGTATAATTTTATTTGTTCTTCTTTACTTGTAAATACATTTTTTCCTATACTCTGTAGATATACTCACATCAGTCTCAGGCTTTAGATTTCCTTTATTTCATACCACTTCTAAATGGTAACTTTATCCAATGAACGTCAAAACGGGCAAAAATTTTGTGTGGGACCTCGCATGACCGCCAGAGAAGGGTTATGGATTCTCAAAATTACAAAAATTTGTGTCCAAAAGTTTTTTATTTTCGTAAAATTTTGAAAATGCACGAACAAATATTATTAAATCCACAAGTTTTTTTTGTTTTTGTTTTACATTGTACAAAGAGAGGATGCTCGCAGATAGAGCCATGATTAAAAGTTGAGATAAAAAATGGTTGAATTTGGCTTCTTGTATAAATATTAGTTTGATGTATTCCTTACACATTTGGATTAGGTGTCTCCGCATGCTAATATATATATTAAAAGCTCCCAAAACGTTCATTTAACACAAACAAACAAACAGCTTTCCTCGAACAATTTCCCAAAAATTAATGCATCTCTTTACTTCCCCATCATTAGGTCGATTTTAGCTTAGTTAAATTTGAACTAAATCCATCTCGTCCATCTTCGATATATAGCTTTTAACCCTATAAATAACTTTATAACGTCTGATATTAGAAAGCTAAAACTTCTTAACTTTTTCAACTTCATAGTTGTGAACAAATTTTGCTAATTTTTTTTTTTTTTGATGCATAGGGCAGGGATAACAGTCAAACGGCCCCGGTGTTTCAAAAAAACAGAAATGGTTTACAACCTTTTATTAATTAAGCTACAGGACTAAAATTTATATATTTGAAAAGCCCTTGAAAAATGGATGCAAAAACATTTGTCACATGTTAATGTTTGTCAAAAGTAAAAATATTTATTTTCATGCATTTTTCCGATGTACTTTTTGAATTTTTAAAAAATCCTCCCTTGGACCTTAACAATTAAAGAAAGAGGTCTAATTTGTTTTAATGAGCAGGCCTTGAAAAGTTGAACCCCCCCCCCATGTATATTAGACAAAAATGGCCCAATCAGGATAGGGTTAATTGTTCCGCAATCTGTGGAATCTTCTCTTCTCAAATTATATAGTAAAAGAACAAAGGGGCCTCGAGGTTGATCTCAGGGTGATAATCCCAGTGATTTACAGTTTACATATATATTTACAAAAAAAATCGCTTAGGTTATGTGAGGTCCTACAAAAACATTGGATTGGATCGGTATAGTTGTTTATTGAATAGAAACAAACAAACCAAGTTACCAACAGACAAACAAAGATATATATATATAGAAGAAGATGGAAAAAAAGTTTCAGAATCATAAATCTTTTTTAAAAATGGATTATTATGATTTCATCCGAATTTAGAAAAACGATACGGATGTGAAGTGTTTGACCCGGAAAGATCCAAATATTAGGTACAAATCATATACAACAAAATTATTAGATAAAACTATGAGCATATGCGATTAATCTTCAGTTCTGATCATAGATGACTAAAAAGAGGTCACTAACAGTTTTTTCCTACTTTTTTCTTTTGCTCCATTTTTAAAAATGCGTCCTGAACCATTCTGAAGTTCTGGGCATATTCTCAAATTCTTTATTTTTGAGTGCATCTGTACTTCGTTTTAAATAACTTTTAAAACTGTCTTATTCCGTAATTTTCAAAGGAGTTTATGCAACCTTATGGTGTAAAACTTTGATATTTCAAACTTAAAATATTTAATCTGACAGAATTAACAGTTTGAAATATCATATCAAAGAGCTACGACATCGGGTTGCAGTAATATAAGCATTAAAATATCAAAGTTTGTGATACAAATCTGTTCCTTTGAACTTTTATGGAATAAAATGGAACTAAGTCTGTTTTGATTTCAACCCATTTTTATCATAATTTCAAGCATATATATATTTTTTCAATGTAATACTTTAATTTAGAGTTTGTCCTAAGAAAATATTTGAAAAAAAAGAAAAACAGAAAATAAATGGTCTCAAACTGTTTGAGAATGCTATGAAAAAACTGTGGATCAAGAAAAAGAAGAAGTCTAAGAATACTAAAAATAAAAACAAAAAAAAGAAAAAAGGAAAAAAGAAAAAGAAAAAAATCAATAAAAAAGAAAAGAAAAAAGGAAAAAAGAAAAAGAAAGATAAGGATAAGAAAAATAAGAAAAAAGGTAAAAATGAAAAAAAGAAAAAGAAGGATTCAAAGGAAAAAAACAAGAACAAATAACGTTTAAGTCAGCAAAAAAAAACATTGCAAGCATCATATCCATGAAAAGTAAAAGATTGAAAATAATTATTTATTGTGGTGTTTTTCATTTTGTTTGTAAGCGCCAGTAAAGTTTTTAAAATATATTTTTTATCATTCTGAAGTCGTTTGTCATTTCCGCATGATGAAAGTTATTGGATATTTCAAACTATGATCTGTGTCAGCTTGAAATACTTTAAATTTGAAATATCGAAGGTTTGCACCAAAAGGTTTTAAAGATGTAGGGATTAGAAAATCTGAGTCTGTGGCAAAGACTCAATTTCTTTGCTTGTTTTTGAGGATATACTTTATGGATTTTGCAGTTATAGGAATATTGTTAGTTTTGTGGAAAAGTGTCATCTCTTTCTTGCCTTCTTATTTCTTGTCTTTCTTTTCTCTACTTTCCTATCATTTGATATTATACTTATAAAATAATAGTTCATGCAGAATATTGAATTTAAACTTCAATTCATCAAAGTTAAGACCTTAAGGTCGTCATTACAGTCGTCCATAGTGAATTGCCCCGTAAACTAAAAAAAAACACTTTTAATTTAAACTCAGATTGTCTTTATTAATTTGAACTTAATGGCAACAGCAGCTTTTTGGTCGAAACTTGGAAGCAAGCTCTGGTGGCAGAATTTGCAACTAGGCACAAGGAGCTCTGGCGGCAGAATTTGGATCTAAATGCAGTGGCAAAATTTGGTTTAGGCACAGGGAACAGCAAATCCCAGTCCATTGTGGCAAAGTGGTTGGAGATCAACCTTGTGAACTACTTGCTTGTAAACATACTGGGGAACCTCAACCTCTGTTACAACAGGCTCATTCACCTGAACAAAGATAGTTATCAGAATTGCACAAATTTACATAATTTTATGATATGAGAAACCCTATTCAAACTTTGGCTCTTTTAATAACTCTAACCTTAACTGAGGGTAGCACACTAGCATAGGGAAGTCCAGCATATCCGAGTCCAGCATAAGGAAGTCCAGCATAGGGAAGTCCATATCCGTAGGAGAAAGGAAGTCCAGCAGCATAAGTAAGTGCAGGTGCAGCTGGAGTGGCCTCAGCCTCTTCAACAGCCTCAGGAGCAGCCTCTTCGACAGCCTCAGCTACAACCTCAACAGTATCTTCCTCAGCTTGTCTTTTCCTTCTTGCCTCTCCTTCAGCCAAACAGGGAACATTGAATCCAAATACGTTTATGCAACCGGTGTCCTTGACAGCGTACTCAATAGAGTTGACGGGGATCTCAACTTCCTTGGCTACAAGCTTGGTCACCTTAACATTAAATTTCAAGCATGACTTCATTTCCTAAATCCTTCCCTAATCATTCTTTTTTAATTTGTGCCATTCATAAATATTTATTTTACTGAAATGTGTGTTTTTTTAACAATACTTGTTAACAGCAAAATCAGCAAAAGGTTATCGATAATTGATAAATGTTTAAATAAAACAAGTTCCTCGCAATCCAAATATGTCACAGTAAAATACCAACACAAACCCTAACCTCCCTACCTTTAGTTACAGGGTGCCCCACAAAACTTGACAGTAAAAAGACGACTGAAAGGTCGTCTTTGACCTTTGAAATGATTTGCGGCATTCAGTCGCACACCTACTTTTAAATCTATGATTCTTTAAAACAATAATAATGAAACTCTCCAAATCCTGGAATTTCCAAAATGTGGCATTTTTTTTTGTGCTGTCAATTCTATCGGGGATTTCAATTTAATAAATTTCTAAAGAGCGAAGACGACCTTCTAGTTGTCTTGCTACTGTCATGTTTTGTGGGACACCCTGTACATTCTTCCGGTATTCTATTGCTAATATATTGATAAATACCTGTGGTGTGTATGAATAGGCTAGAGGGGATCCATATGATAAGGGATACCCAGCATATCCAGTATATCCACCCAGCAGGACTTGGGGACCAGCTGATGCTGTTGCTACTACGGTCAATACCAGCTGAACATATATTTGTTATTTTCAAGGAACAACATATTTAAAGTATCCTCTGCATTTATAGAGTTGCATGTACAATTAAAATGGTATCCTATAAAGCTTTCTAGATTCAAGAAAGAGAAAGATATCATGATATTAAGTTTGAAAGTTGTTAATATTTAATTATGGTTTCTCTTATGATTGCGACTTGAGCAAGTGCAATTCTGTTACAAAAACAAGAAGTTTTGAGAGAAAATTGTTTTTATGTTATGTCATGTCTTACTCACGATCAAATTTTTAATTGTTTAATCCCAGAGTATTTGCAACCTGCTGGTGTGAGCCTTTGATATTTTTAACTTTGTCTATTTGGTACAGAGAAAGTCCTAGTTTATAAAATATCAAAGGTCTACAACAACTTGTTAACTCTCTGATATTTCGACCTTATCTTTTTAATCTTACAGAATTCATTGTTCAAAATAGAAGAGGATACGGTCGCAAAAATAAAAAGAATTAAGATTTGAGGAGAGAATTAAGTTTCTTTCTAAACTACTATATGCACTGCAAACCAAGACTTTTACGTTCTTACACAACCATCGAGCAGTATTTTCTCACACAACAATAGAGCAGTATTTTCTCACACAACCATAGAGCAGTATTTTCTCACACAACAATCGAGCAGTATTTTCTCACACAACCATAGAGCAGTATTTTCTCACACAACAAATGAGCTGTATTTTCTCACACAACAATTGAGCAGTATTTTCTCACACAACAATAGAGCAGTATTTTCTCACACAACAATTGAGCAGTATTTTCTCACACAACAATAGAGCAGTATTTTCTCACACAACAATCGAGCAGTATTTTTTCACAAAACAATAGAGCAGTATTTTCTTACACAACAATTGAGCAGTATTTTCTCACACAACCATAGAGCAGTATTTTTCTCACACAACCATAGAGCAGTATTTTCTCAAACAACCATAGAGCAGTATTTTCTCAAACAACAATAGAGTAGTATTTTCTCACACAACCATTGAGCAGTATTTTCTCACACAACAATAGAGCAGTATTTTCTCACGCAACAAGTGAGCAGTATTTTCTCACGCAACAATAGAGTAGTATTTTCTCACACAACAATCGAGCAGTATTTTCTCACACAACAATAGAGCAGTATTTTCTCACACAACAATAGAGCAGTTTTTTCTCACGCAACAATAGAGCAGTATTTTCTCACACAACAATAGAGCAGTATTTTTTCACGCAACAATTGAGCAGTATTTCTTCACAAAACAATAGCGCAGTATTTTCTCACACAACAATAGAGCAGTATTTCTTCACAAAACAATAGAGCAGTATTTTTTCACACAACAATAGAGCAGTATTTTCTCACACAACAATAGAGCAGTATTTTTTCACAAAACAATAGAGCAGTATTTTCTCACGCAACAATTGAGCAGTATTTCGTCACAAAACAATAGCGCAGTATTTTCTTACACAAGAGTCGAGCAGTATTTTCTCAGTTACTCCTTTAAAACTAGCGCTAAACAAGCGCAAATTGCATATATTTCAAATGTATATGTCTAAACCTATAAAAATGTAAAAGTGAGGTAGTAAAACAAAAGGGCAAGGCGCTGAGACACTTTTAATTCGAGGCTGTCTAAAAATTTTATGATTTCAGGATGTCATTTATCGTAGTTCAGAAAATCAGAGTCAGTGGCGGTTAATCAGAGCTGGGAACTCATAATCCCGATTGATCTCGATATCCACTGAAGGGCTCATTAAACAAACTAAACTTTTCCGTATCTTCGTTTTAGTTATTCCTCCCCTTATTAAACCTCCATTTAACTCCTGAGTGGGTCCGATTACCATGCAGGATATCGTGTAAAAATAAAAGTAATCTACAGATTAACAAAAGATCAAGATTAATCTCGATATCCACAATACAAGAGTTTCCAGCTCTGTTGCTAAAAGTGTAAAAATCCAGATTTAGCAATTGATGAGTCACCCTCAACTAAGCTTTTTGTGCATTCTGCAGTAATCTGCAGTGCATTGACCGAAGATATAGTTATATTGTATAGTGGAGAGTGGGTGTGAAAATACTAATTATATTACCAGGGCATTCATGATGACTGAGCTCTGTAAAGACTGTAGAGAAACGAAGATGAACAACTCTTTATATATAAATGGGCGTGGTCAGCGTTGGCCTAGATGGGGCGGGGCTGCCCCTCCCACTATTCCAGTCCACAGGGGTTTATATATTCTTCCTTGCCAAGCGTAAAATAAACAAAGATAAAAATTATGTTGTAAATTTAAAATAGTCTCTAAAAAAATATTATTTCGAGACTATTTAACCGTTATTTGACTGAGTAGTGGCGTAGGTGCGCGCATTCCAGAATAAATTATATATTTATGTCTTTTTTATGTTTACTTCAACAATTTTACAGAATATCTTCAGAAATTTATTAATTATCAGGATTCCCTTATTTAATTCATTGGTATAAAAGTGTCCGAAAACTAAATACAAATCTGTTTGTTTGTAATGTTTAATTTTTTAAACGAGAAGCACGACTGTGGTTTTTGTGTATAAAATATGATTATATAAAGGCATGCCGGAGGCTAAATACTTCTAAGCTTAAATATTATGTTCTTTTTCTGTTTTGTGAGAAAAAAATAATAATCTGAACTTCTTCTAAATTGTCCATTTTGAATTATGCATTATGGTTTTTTATATTAGAACTCGGGAACCCAGCTTTGTCTTGAAACTGAGTTTTCTTTTTAAGAGTCAACCTTCAACTGAGATATTTTAAACCTAGCGAAGAACATTCCCATGGTTCTACCGAGTTCCCCAATCAAAATTTGAGGCAAATCGGTTAAGGGGTTCCTGAGTTATGATCGGACATACAAACAACAAACAGAGATTACCACTTTATATATATATATAGATTAAAAAACCATATTTGAGATATATTTTAAGTATAATATTTGCCAGACCAAGGGTAGCTAAATTTGATCAAAAGATTTAAGCTTGCAAATCTATAAAATAAAACATTCGTATATATGCTCCCTTTGGCCGGCCAAGCGGCTGGACCGAATGGGCTGAAATCTTTTGTGGACACTCATAAGCAGCCTGGGAGTGACCGACACATGCCCTCTGAAAGATAAAATTTTAGGTCAAATCAGTGTTTTTTTATGGGGAACAGGGCTTTGCCACTCCCCCCCACCCCCCACCCCACTCGATACACCCACCCTTAATATATATATATTTTTGGATATATGGATATGGATATATATATATATATATATATATATATTTCTTATTTATTATGTGGGGATAATACCCAAAACTGCAAAGAGCTAATCTCCACCTAATTACCTAATTGCTATAACTACATACATATAGTTTAAACAATATAAAAATTTAAAATAGTTGCAGATTTTTTGCCTGTAACATTATAACTTGTATGTGTATTTTTAGCAATAAACAATATCTTATCCTATCTGATCTTATTTATAAAGATGAAAAGTAAAAGCAAACAAAAAATGCATAAATTAAGAAATAATGAACATCCTTCGTCTGGTCGAAGGGCTCACTCACTTTTAATCCAGATCAGACGTACAGGGATACCCACAAAGAATGAGACTTAAGAGAAGATTGTACGGAATCTATTTTCCTTATATTCACAATTCCCTGCAACTATAAACTTGTTTCTTTCTTTCTTAAATCATTATATAAGCCATTAAACTAGATTAGTACTATATCAAAGGCCGAATACTTACTTTAACATTGGGATCGTCACAATTAAAGATTTTTTGGTCGTCTTTTACAGTCTCATACTTTGTGGGTGTATAAACCCTGTATATAAACATGGCACGGAATGTACCCCCCCCTCCCTTTATTTTCCTACAGTCCAGGCCCCCGTCTTTAAGGGTTAAATGCGAGTAATATTTATAATCCCACCCCTGCAACCCAACCCACCCACTCACTTGCACTCATAACCCAGCAACCCCGCCTTAAATGAATTAGCTTTATCATAGAAGGGTTAAAAGAGGGAGGGGGGTGAGGACCGTTGAATCAGTTCAGTTTTATCATCAACGAAAGACACAGACCAAGCAAATTGATTAATCGAATCAAGTTCTTCAATCGATAAAAATATTTTTTTTTTCGAAACAGGGTCAAAACAGGGAGCATGGGCTGCAAGGTTAATGTTCAAGTAAGCATTATAATTTAACACATACTGGAGTATACTAATAACATTCGACATGTTTCATGAATATATCGGTCAAAGGGATAACAAGTATATATATTCTACCTCTGTCTGTCTGTTTGTTTGTGTCCAATAAACGTCAAAACGGCTGAACCAATTAGGCCCAACATTTTTTTGTGGGACCTAACGTGACTCCAGGGATGGTTTATGGATGATCGAATTTTCAAAAATTTGTCTCTCGCAAAATTTGATTTTTGAAAATTATGAAAATCCACGAAAACTTTTTTTGTTTTTGTTTTACAATGTATAAAAAGAGAAAATGTTCACAATGGAAGTAGTGTGCGCAAAGCGCCCTAAAAGCTTAGTCTTCTATAATTCGTTGGAAATTTGACAACTTGTAGGTGAAAAGAATTGCGTCTTTGCCACTCGAACTCTCCGATTATTTAATCCTTTTATTTTTTCAAATTGCAACCCGATGGTGTAGACATTAGATATTTCAAACTTTTAATTCTGTTAGATCAAATAATCTAAGTTTAAGATATCAATCTATCATGGTTGCAATTAGGGTTTCCAGCGAAATCTAACTTTTTTGCGAATTTTCACATTCTTCGCGAAAAATAAATTTCTGCAACAATTAAATGCAAAAAGAACTTATCGAATTCTCTGCAATGAGAGCTCAGCATTGCAGGTGTAATTTTATAATAATTTTTTGTGGGAGTTTTGCCTTTTTTTGCGCAAAGCAGATAAAATCCAAAATACGAAACCCTAATTGCTGCTTTACTTAGTTTAATTCTCGAGAAAAATCCTATAAAGCAAAGATTAGATAGGATTTTCAATATTATTTTCTGTTTAATAACTCACATAAATGAACTGATATTTAATGTGATGCCTTAAACTCTGATTTTATCAGTTCTATACCAATTAAATCTTTAAGTCAAATTATGACTTTTGATCCAGTAGATTTCCAATTTTCACATAAATGAACTGATATTTAATGTGATGCCTTAAACTCTGATTTTATCAGTGCTATACCAATTAAATCTTTAAGTCAAATTATGACTTTTGATCCAGTAGATTTCCAATTAAATCTTATAGTCAAATTATGACTTTTGATCCAGTAGATTTCCAATTAAATCTTATAGTCAAATTATGACTTTGATCCAGTAGATTTCCAATTTTCCCAGCTTGAAAGATCAGGTTGCGAAGATATAAGTATCCAGTTTTGTTTTTGATAACCTTTTAAAATTAATATTGTGTTGTAATTGGCTTAAACTCTCATTTCTAATTACTTTCTCTTTTCAAACTTTCAAAACTACTAACTGCTTGAATTTTCAGGAGCAAAAAAGAAAATTGGAAAATTACAGTTTGAGACGATTAGTCAGTTCTGGGAACGTTAATTAATTTGAGTTAGGTAGCTGAACTACTTAAAGCCGATTTAACTCTAGAATAAGTAAAAGATTTATGTGGATTGGATTTAGTGATTTTGGATTTGAATTGGCGGTAGGTTAGTTCAACGACCTCTGCAATTACAGTTTGAGACGATTAATCAGTTCTGGGAACGTTAATTAATGAATTGGAGAGGTCGTTAAACTAACCTACCCCCAGTGCAAATCCTAAATCACCGATTCAAATCGACATAAATCTTTAACTTATTCTAGAGTTGAACTGGCTGTAGGTAGTTCAGCTACCTAACTCTGTTCCTGTTTAGTTGATGTTTTGTATCCTGAATATACTCTTGATTGTGGAAGCTATGAAGCATAGACCAACCTTCCACTCTCATCACTATCATGGTTGGGGGGAACAGGAGCATCATCAACCAGATCATCATAAAGGTAAGGTACTCTCCGAGTTCTCGGGCCACCCCCCCCCCC